ATAAACATGTCAACATTTCCCAAAATCTCCACTTGCTATATGCAAGGAAAACAGTTTTAAAAAATGTAAATGTAATTTGCCAAAAAAATGGATGTAAATATCAAGTGTAAACATTGATGCAAAAATCTTGCTTTATATAAATATCTGTGTTAGTGTAGACGTGGCCTAAAGCTGTGTTCCTTCAACACACAGTCTCAATGCCTCAGCTACAGTTAGGCCCAGCATTATTTGGACAGTGACACAATCTTCATGATTTGGGCTCTGCATGCCACCACATTGGATTTGAAATGGATCATCCACAACGGAATTGAAGTGCCGACTTTAAGGTTTAATTCAAGGGGCTGAACAAAAATATATGATTAAACATGTAGGAGCTGTAGCTGTTTTTATACAAACGCTCCTCATTTCAGGGGCTCAAAGGTAATTGGACAAATAAACATAACCCTAAGTAAAATGTTACTTTTCAATATTTTGTTGAGAATCCTTTCCAGGCAATGAAATCTGGAATCCATGGACATCACCAAACGCTGGGTTTCCTCCTTTGTGCTGCTTTGCCAGGCCTTTACTGCAGGTGTCTTCAGTTGTTGCTTGTTTGTGTGTCTTTCTGCCTTAAGTTTTGTCTTGAGCAAGTAAAATGCATGCTCGATTGGGTTGAGATCCGGTGATTGACTCGGCCATTGCAGAATATCCCACTTCTTTGCTTTAAAAAACTCCTGGGTTGCTTTTGACGTATGTTTTGGATCATTGTCCATCTGTACTGTGATGCGCCATCCAATCAACTTTGCTGCATTTGGATGAATCTGAGCAGAATGTATATCCCTATACAATTCAGAATTCATCCGGCTGCTTCGGTCTTTTGTCACATCATCAATAAACACAAGTGACCCAGTGCCATTGGAGGCCATGCATGCCCATGCCATCACACTGCCTCCACCATATTTTACAGAAGATGTGGTGTGCTTTGGATCATGAGCTGTTCCAATTCTTCTCCAAACTTTCTTCTTCCCATCATTCTGGTACAGGTTGATCTTAGTCTCGTCTGTCCAAAGAATGCTGTTCAAGAACTGGGCTGGTTCTTCAGGTGTTTTTTGACAAAGTCAATTCTGGCCTTTCTATTTATGAGGCTGATTAATGGTTTGCACCTTGTGGTGAATCCTTTGTATTTACTCATGACGTCTTCTCTTTATGGTAGACTTGGATACCGATACACCTACTTCCTGAAGAGTGTTCTTCACTTGAGTGGATGTTGTGAAAGAAGTTTTTCTTCACCATGGAAAGGATTCTGCGATCATCCACTACTGCGATCATCCACCACTGTTGTCTTCTGTGGACATCCAGGCCTTTTTGAGTTCCCAAGCTCACCAGTGCACTCTTTTTTTCTCAGAATGTACCAAACTGTTGATTTGGCCACTCCTGACATTTCTGTTATCTCTCTGATGGATTTCTTCTTTGTTTCAGCCTCAGGATGGTCTGTTTCACCTCCATTGAGAGCTCCTTTTACCGCATGGAATTGTCCAATTACTTTTGGTCCCTTGAAAAAAAGGCGGCTACATATTAAAGAGCTGTAATTCCTAAACCTTTGCTCCAATGTGGATGTGAATACTCTCAAATTACAGCTGAGAGTCTGCACTTTAAGCCCATGTTGACTATATAATTGTATCCAGAATATGTTTTGGTAAACTGCTAAAATAACAAAACTATGTGTCACTGTCCAACTGTAGTTATCCAGGGTGTTATGCTGGTCTACTTCATGGTTCAAACCAAGTAAAAAAAAAAACACATTTTATTGGAATGTTACCTAGATTAAAAGCACATTATTTTAATTTAAAGTTATTTCTCGCAACGAATAATTTGTTTAATTAAGTTTAATTTAGTTGATATACTTCTTTCAGATAATTCTACTAAAAGGAGCAGTGACGTTGATGTTAAAAAAATAGTTAAGGTATTAGTCGAAATATGGCTCTTACCAGCCACAAATGACAACCTGCTGCCAGATTATCAGTACTTCTTCACATGAAGGAATAATTTCTATCTTTAAACAGCAGGTATCATCAGAAACCTAATGACACCAATTGCACCATATGTATAGAATACTACAGTTTTTTATTTATGAGTTCACTATAACTTATTAAATGTGCATGTAATATGGATGACGTAACTTACTGAGGGAAAACATACTGTATGTTAAGCTGTCTTAGGTTAAAGACCACAAAAGATGATAGCATTGTAACCACTGCAGAGCCTATAGAGATGGATTTGGCAGACAAATTTACTCCTTGTGCACAATGTTTACCATAAAATATAGACAAATGGCCAAAGCAAAAAGACCAACATCATAAGAAAAACCATGAACAGTCTTCATTTCATGTTATTCTACATATTGTTACCCCATCCACAACATTCATTTAGATATCCATGTAGAAAGCAGCTGGCAGAGCGTCAGAACAGCAAGACCTCTGGATGGTTTTACAAGGCAACAAAACTTGACTATGTCTAGAGGTTATAATATTTGCATTGGAATACTTTTTAAATAGGCATGCTTGCAACCTGCAGAGCATTTCTAGAGTATTATTGCTTTGTTTGTATCATTTTTAATAACAGTGAGAGCAGACTGCACAAGTAGAAAATAGGGCAGGGAACTGAGGTCGCTTAACTTGCCCTTTTTCTGCCAGTTCTAGTAAGTTATGAATAAAAAAAGTCATCTGACTGCTCACAGTGGTTACATCAGCACAGCAGCTGAATGATTGCTTTTCCTGGCCTGGTTCTGCTAAACTTATTTCCATGCTGAAATTACTATCAAAATGACAACTTACAGTTAGACTGATGGTTTTGATATTATCAGGATAAGACATCCAGAAAAAGATTATATTGTTTAGTTGTCATTACTAGACTTTCAGTGTAGCTGTGTTGCATTTGTTAAATAAAGTCATAAAAGGGACATTGATAAGGTCTGAGTGAAGCTGCTGTTTCTCTGCATTAAAAGGAGTCAGTCGAAGTGGTTCTGGCATCTGATCAGAATGCCTCCTGCGTTGATCTTGCATTTTCTGGGCAGATTTCACTGGAACGAAACCCTGGGGCAAATTCAGAACGTACTGGTGGGACTTCATTTATCCCTTCCAGCCTGGGAATGCGTTTGGAATGACCTGGAGAGTGTCGCTGGTGAGAGGGATGTCTAGGTGTCTGTGCTTGATTTGCTTCCTATGTGACCTGATCTTGGATAAGTGGAGAACATTGGAATGATGGTGACACCATAATTTTCAGATTTATCATTATTATTATTATTATTATTACCTTTTAAAAGGGATAGTTGCAGAAACAAGTTCTGATATAGCAGTTGGAACATGGTATGTAGTTATGAATGGGAAGAGGTTTGCTTTGGAAGATGGAACTTATCTAGTGGAGTTTGCTGCTATGTTCTTGAGTTGCTATCACATGTTGGTGATGTTGATGGGGGGCGAAATTTGTTTTTGGGACATTGAATTTGCTTTTTCTAACTTGCACTTACTCATATCGTACTTCTTCCTCTGCGATTACTTTTTTTTTGCAACCGTGAGTATTCTTTATCTGTATTGTATTCTAAACGTCCATACAGGATGTGACCGCGGCTTAATCCCAGGTGGCAGCATGTCTATTGTTTGTTCTGTGTCAGTTCTTCTTTTGTCTTTTAAACTTTTATTTTTAAATTCAGTTTTAATGTTTTTTCTATGCTCTCCCATACTTCTAAAGATAAGGCAAAAAAAAAGCTGGGAGAAATGAGAAACTGCTCATCGTTAATCTGGAACTGTCTGCTGTGAAACACCGTTTATAGCCTGTGCTGTTCTGCTGAGTGGCTTGTTGAAGCAGCTGGACTAAACTGGAGTCCGAGGTACTTACTGAAGCTTCTGAACCACACTGGGGTCTAAGATGCTTGTTGAAGCTTCTGAACCACACTGGGGTCTAAGATGCTTGTTGAAGCTTCTGGACCACACTGGAGCCTGAGGTGCTTGTTGAAGATGCTGGACTACATTGGGGCCTGGCTGCTTGATGGCATTTTCTTCATTTAATGTTTTGTGAGTTGCAGATAATGGCTTTTTTTCATCATTTTCATCTCTTTACTGACTGCGTGGGATTTAGGGACAAGTGTACTGACAGACCCAACAAAGATGGTGTAGTCGTGATTTTTCCTAAATCAAAATTTCACTTCCAGATGGTTCTGTCTGAATCCATCAGCAAGCAGTTAGAATTTGTAGCAATAAATGTGGAGATTACTAAGGGCTTCTGTGTAACTGTGGTTGGGTGCTACAGGCCTCCATCTGCCACCAAGAAATAGTTACAATCCTTAAAGTGTCTTTTATCACGGTTAAAATATAATGAACTCTTTTTAGCTAGTGTTTTTAACTGGGATTGGATCAAACCAGTTTCTGAGGATTTCAAGTCTTTCTGTGACTCCATTAATCGGCCAAGAAATAAAGATCCTTAATTTTGACAAATGTTCCTCGTAAGTTTACAACTCTGCGTGTCTTTTGCAGTGACTTGAGAAATACTAAGATTAAAAATCAAAGCAACATATTGTTTATATGAGAAATCTTAAGCATTTTAATGAACACGCTTTTTTCTATGACTTGTCAAATTACGTTTGGTAAAAAATAGAATTGATACTTGACTTGATGTGGAGTTAGCTTGGGGTTGTAGGACTGAAGTTATGCAAATTGTAAACAAACACATTCCACTTAAGAGACATAGAGTAAAGGGGTGAGAAAACCCATGGTTCTCCCCAGAGTTGGCAGATTTAATTCATCAAGAAAATCTGGCTTGGGGTAAAACAAGGAAAACAGGTTTCTCCTGTCTTGTTTATAGACAACTAAAAAATAAATGTAATTCTTTTACCAAGAATCAAATTATTTATTTGTCTCCACTGATACAAAAAAATGTATTTTTTACTTTTTTGGCCCTAGTGGCCTTTATTTTACAGTAATCAGAAAGGAAAAAGGGTGGAAAGAGAAGGGGAGACATGCAGCAAATTGCTGGAGACCGAGAATCGAACCCAGGACAACCACGTTGAGGACAATAGCCTCTTCACATGGTGTGCGCGCTCTACCAACTGAGCCACCATCCCATTTCAGTAAAAATCTTAATAACCCACACAAGTTTTGGAAAGTTATTAAATCTCTATCGATAAGCAAAAGCTCTCAAGTTCTAGACTCCCATGTTTTAAATGATTCCGATTTTGTTTTTGTTAGAATGGAGGTTTTAAACTGTTTTAACAAGCATTTTATATCTTTCTGTTCTTTGTTTGACCTTTTGGTTCTGTTTCAGTAAAACCCTGTATAGATCTTCCAAAAATACAGGTCAACCTTTTAACTTTGCACCCTCCTCCATTCAGGAAGCTCAAAAAGCCCTTAAAGGTTTATATCATAGAAAACCTTCTGGTCCTGATTTAATTAATCCATACTTTTTTAAATTGGCTGCTGATTTTTTAGCTGAGCCTCTTGCATACATTTTAACCTTACAGTGGAAAAGAATGAAATTCCTTCTGTATGGAAGTCAGCTTTTAGTCTGCCTTTTTTAAAGGACCGTAATTCAACAATTTTAACTAATTATAGACCAATATTTAGTTAACCAGCATTGACTAAAATTATTGAACCCTTTGTTAGTGACCAAATAAAAGTTTTAATATTCTTATACCATTTTAGCAGAATGTCAGTCAGACTTTAGAAAAAATCATAGCACTATACAGCTGCAGTCAAAGAGGTAAATTACATTCTTGCTGAGCTTGATAAGAAACAACACTGTACATCACTTTTTAAAGATTTGTCTAAAGCCTGTGATAATGTCTAGCATGAAATTTTAAAACGTAGACTTCGGCATTCGGGGCTTACAGAAAAAGTAATAACTTGATTCACAATGATCTCAGTATCAGAACTCAGTGCATTAAATATGATGGTCTATGTTACTGTCCACAATTGGGTGCCACAAGGTTCAGTGCTTGGTCCCCTCTTAGGCAACGTTCACAGTGCAGGTCTTGATGCTTAATTCCGATTTAGCACATGAAATTCTCTTTTTTTCAGTGGTTGTTTAAACTACTAGTTGACTTCAGTCTGAACAGTTCGTTCCGAACATATTTATAAGTCGTTGAGCAACAGGAGCCGACAATATTATGACCACATTATAACAAGGCAAAGAAAGGTTAGAAAAAAGACAGCACAACTATTAACAACGGCTTTTTGTGGAGCATTGGCTGCTACGTCTGTAGAAGTAGTAGTCGAACGTGTAATCAGAGCCAAGACAATGATGTAAACGTTGGATGAAATGCTACATGAACCTTCTGACAGCGGACACTTTGATAGATATGATTTAGTACCACATATGATAGTGGCACGATTTGGATTGTTTTTGGAGGTAAAAAGATTGGAATTGGGGGCTGTGACTTCAATGAAAAAGTCGGATATGGGTCGCATATGGGCAAAAAAGTTGCAGTGTTAACGTAGCCTTAATCATTATCTATACAAATGATCTGGGTCTGAATGTGTCAGATGCCAATTTGCAACTTTATGCTGATGATACATTTATTTACTGTTGTGCATCAACTCTTGTTCAAAATATTGATCCACTGCTGAAAGATTTTGAAGTTTTTTATGCTGTCTTCCAAATCCAGAAAGCAATTGGAAATTACATTCTAAGTGACCACTCTGAAGGGAAATTAAATTGATGTGGTTAACAGTTATAAATGCCGTGTTGCCTTCATTAATGACTCCCCCATTTTTAACCCCCCTGTGAAGAAACTAAGGTTAAAGTTGGATTTTAATTTTCAAAATAAGCTTTGTTTTTCTTCATTGTAAAAAAGTGGCTTGTAGCTGCAACATTTTTAACTGTATTGGATTATGGAGACCCTTTCTATATCAATGCTTCTGCTCACTGTCTTCATATGGTTAACACTGCTTATAATGCTGCTTTCAGGTTTATCACTAAAAGCACTGACACTTCATTGTGAATTGTACTCTTGTGTGGGATGGCCTGCTTTGGCTACGAAGAGGAACAGTTACTGGCTTGCCTGGGCTACTGCGGTCGTAAATATGTAATCTAATTGTACAGTAAATTACTGTTCCTTACTCTCTTCGTGTCACTTCTGTTGATCTCAGTTCCAGTTGCTGTACTGAATTTTTTGCATGGAATTTGTTGTAGAAATTAATGGACTTAATGTCTTTGAGAGCTTTTAATTTGATACTGATTGTTGTTTCATATTCTTATGATTCTTATGTGTAACTATGTAACTTCATTGTATTTGTTGCTGAATATCTTTGTCACGTCTCCCTTGAAAAATAAGTTTTTAACCTCAATGGGATCTTCCCGGTAAAATGAATGTTTAAATAAACAAAGAACTGCTCTTGAATAGAATATTTACACCAGCATTCCTAATTTTTGTGACTTTTCTCTCTTATGCTTTTATGTCCAACAATCAAGTACAAGACATTGCATGACTGCACACATTACACCCAGAGAAAGGGGAGTTTTAACCAAAAGGGACCCTTACTATTAATGTCAGTTTTGAGCTGGGGAGGAAAGACTTAGGAATGAAAGCCTTCACTCGTATAACATCACTGCCCTCCTGCTTCTCCATTTCCACTCATATTTCCCTGACGATCCATAAAGAGACAGCCATTTGAGAGGGTGCATTGATTTCCAGGAATAGCTGGTGATAAAATGCACTTGTGAACCCCTAGCCCCTTTAACTACTCAATATGAGGACCCCTGATTTGGCAGGGCAATGTAGGAACTGTAAACAAAGCCACAGATTGGAAGGGAGTACTATAGGCAGGAAGTTAGGACAATGTCTGTATTAAAGACAAAGAGGCAGGTTTGGGTTTATAAATTTCAAAACTTGCTACAGTTGATGGAAAGATAATTTAGACAAAAACTGTCTTTGTCCAATTATCTCCATATAAGTTTGTTTTTTCTCCTTCCAAGCAGAACTGTTCCATGGGGGAAAAGATTGAGCATTCCACCAAAACAAAGTGACTGCATGTCTGCCATATCTGTAAAAGATGTGTAGTCAACTGTATTGAGCTGCAGGTGAGAATAAGGGGTGTTGGTTCAGAAATCCTCTGAAGCTGGAGTCCCTTTCTGGCCATTAATGAAGCACTGTCCCATTCTCACCACTTTATCATGATCAATGAATCTCTGATTTTGATGCAATAGAAAACCAATCACTGGCAACAGTCTCCAGGCAAAACATTAGTCATCATGTCTTTGACACCACCTAAGAATTGGGTCATTCTTTTAAATTAAAAGGGCTCATTTGTAAATATACACTTGCAGCCAAAAAAGAGAGATAACACCATTTTCTTATTTTGATGTATGAAAGACTAAAGCAAAGTGCTCAGGTGAATTAATGCCTTTTCAGAATGCTGTGACGCTTACTGCACCTGTGCATTAAAACTGGAAGGGATGGTTGTGCAGATGATGAAGCACCTTTGTTTAAATTTGGCATTTCTGAATTTACGCTATTTATTAGAGTTATTTGTTTGAGCTAATGCATCCTACTCACCATGCCAAAGCATGCATTAATGATCAAGTGCTGTGAGATGCCAATAAGATGCCAATATATGTTCCCTCTGCATTCTTCTTTTTTTTATTTCTCCATTAGGCCTCTGTCCTTGACAATTGTCAGGTATAAATCTTTGTTCTCAGCTAGAGAGGTTCGAGTCAAGAGATGCTCAATAGAGAGCGTCTGCCCTCTGATAGGGTCTGACTGTTATTGAGCACCTGGGGTGTATTCAATAAACTTAAAGTTTGTGTCTACTTTAGTTCAACAAAGGAGCTCTCTCTATCAATTTCCCAATGAAATATGGCATGCGTAATTTGTAATGATGACTTAGAAGATAAAGGTATAATTTTCAGCTTCATGTAAAGAATTGAAAAAAGGAGATTTGCAGTGAGTGGCTTCTTAAAAATAACTATTAGGTATGAATGTAGTTTATTTTATTAAGGTACTCCTGGTTCAGTGCTTTTTTTGTTTAGCTATGTCTTTCTTTCTGGGCAGAGTCCTTGATGAAGGCCTTGGCAAAACTATTGCACCCATTAACTCTATGTACTCACGTTTTGCCATAGAAAGTACTCCTGGCTAGGAGCTGCTGAATTTATCTGTGTCTTTCCTACTGGATGGAGCCATGAACTGAGGTACTGGTGCCACTAAATAAAGCTTCTTTCACAAAAACATTCAGTCATCAAGCTATCTGGGCATTCACAAATCTGAAATTAAGCATGCACATGTAAGCTTTCATAAGTGAACTTCGTTGCACTAAATGTGGGCATTGAGTGAGACTCAAATGATTGTTGGAAAAGTTGTACACTGTACACTGGTGGAATGTGGCACCTTATTAGCTTTGCTCTATTTTCAATCATTACCACTACAGAAGTAACTACCCTATGCCAGAATTCAGTGCTCTGTTCAGTCCAATCGCACTACACTGCAACTCCTCTCTTGTGCGGTAATGACAAGAAATGGTATGCTTCTCACAGTTCCTGTGTATTTTTGCCTTAAATCTGCTGACCAGCCTGTTGCAAAGATGTTGCTATCTCGGTGTTGTAAAAGAGGCTTGTGTTCAGTTTGTTTTTATTTTCCACAAAAAGTAATCCTGCCTCTCTACAAATGTGTTTAGTCATGTTTCTTTCCAGGACGAAGCCACTAACAAAGTTATTGCTATCTCTGATTATATGTACTCTGTACTACTGACAAAGTTCTTCTTTGTTTTTCTTATTTCTTCTTCTCCTCTTAACCCCTAGCCAGTCATGGCAGGTGGCTGCTTATAGTATACTGAGCCTGGTTCTACTGAGAGTGTGGTGTCTTTCCACTGTCACCCCATGCTTGCTTAGAATTACTGATTGCTACAAAGTTTGAGTTCTATATAGTTGGTTAGAAATTGGACCTGCTTGTGATGTAAAGTGAAATGAGATGACATTTGTTGTGATTGGTGCTAGATATATAAACTAAACTCCATCTATCCATTGTCTTCCGCTTATCCAGGGTCGGGTCGCAGGGGCAGCAGCCTAAGCAGAGAGACCCAGATTTCCCTCTATCCAGCCACTTGGGCCAGTTCGTCTGGTTGAATCCCAAGGC